TTTTTTTTTTTTTTTTTTTTGGTACTGGGGATCAAACCCAGGACCTTGCGCTTGCAAGGCAGGCACCGGAACCACTGAGCTAAATCCCCGGCCTCTTCCTTGTCTTTTTATGGTGCTGGGGATGGGACCCAGGGCCTCACTGCCATTGAGCCACACCCCCAGCCCCTCCTGACCCCTTTGATGCGCCGAGGAAGGTTCTGGCCTCTTCCCAAGGGCAGTGTGTTCACATGCTTTATGCTCACACAGTCTGGGCACAATCTCAGGGGCCTCACAGACATAGCCACCCCTGCCTAGCCCGTTCTTGAACCCAGAATAGAAGTCCTGCCCGCCCAGTGCTTGTGGTACTCACAGGAGGACCCATAGCCCGGGAAGAAAGGGCCTTGTGGAGGCTACCGAGGTGGCCAATAGCCAAGGCCTGGTGGTGGCAGCAGGGTGCACCCTTCACCTCCCCACTTTGCTGTGGCACACTCAGGCCTGTCACCCCTCCATTACTCCATTACTCCTCTGCTGCCCCTGCTCTAGTAACTTCCTGCTGCACTAGTGCCTGCTCTTAGAACCAGGCTGAGATGTCCCATCCTGTCCTGTGCATCGCAGCCCCAGCTCCCTGCCATTTGCTCCCCACAAATGTAGAGGAAGAGCATCGAGGAGAAAACGATCTGAAAGTTATGGCCCAGGGCTGTGCTCTTTAGGCTCCCTGCTCCCTCTTTTTTGCTGGAGTGCTGGGGATGGAACTCAAGACCAGGCATGCTCAGCATGTGCTCTGCCTCTTCCTCCATAACTACTCAGTGGTCTGTTTCAACAGTTAAGAAAACTCACTGAGCACCATGGCTCAGCCTTATGCTGCATGGTGCTGGAATCACAGCAGGGACAATGACAGCCCCACCCCAGAACTCCAGGGTTCACAGTCCAAAGAATGAGCCGAGCTGACCCTGGACAGTGACAACTCAGAGGGCAGACCTGTGACAGGGCAGCCATAGGAGCCACCTGAGCCAGCCTGGCTGCAGGACCTTACGGAGAGCTTCCTGGGGGAGCAGGAAGAGTGAGTAGGAGTATGGTGGCAGTGAGGAGACCAGAGGCCAGGGCTGTGCGGCCACCCTGAGCCTGCTGAGTGAGCCTGGGCTTAGGGCAGCAAGGGACCTACCTGGTCCTGACCACTGGGGAGCCCTGTCCCGGCTGCCCACATGCAGTGGGAATTTGGCCTTGTGCTCAGAGGAGGAAGTCAAGGTTGAGCTTTTGGGAGACCCCTCAGGGTGCCGTCTGGAGAGCGGATTAGAGGCTGAGTGGGTGGGCCAGGGAGCAGGAAGGGCCAGCTCTGGGGCCCGGGATGCAGGGCTCCCCAGCTGGGAGGGGAAAAGTGAGTGCTTCCTGTTTCCCGTTACCTCTGCCCACTCAGCCTGCTCTGTCTTCCTGTAACATCTCCCCCTTCCCTTGCTGGGCCTCCTGTTCCTTGTAGATAATTTTTTTTTTTGGTACCAGGGATCGAACTCAGAACCTTGTGCTTGTGAGGCAGGCATCAGCACCACTGAGCTAAATCTCAGGCCCCTTCCCCTGTTCCTTGTAAGACCCCCCCAACCTGATTCTCCACTAGCCTCTCAAGGATTGGGGCCCTCTCTTCTGGCTCAATAAAGATTTCCTGGTTGACAGACTCAATGGCAACTGGTGTTTGGGGAAGAGGGGCTTCAGAGGCAGCTCCTGGGGGTCCTCATTAGCATAGTGGACACTTCTGGGGGAGCAGACCCGCTGGCCTGGGGGTACGTTGTGTAGTACCAGCCCTCTGGGTCCTGGTGCTAGGTGCTGAGCTGGGGTCTCAGTGTCCATCATCCCAGCAGCAGCGCAAGCCTTTATGCCCTCGAGCAGCTTCCGGTGCAGGCCACCTCTGCCCCTCTGGAGGGGACCACAGAAGTCAGTAGCTGCCCTCCCTCAAGCAGGACTGGAGGTGCCTGCTTCCCCATCAAGCCAGAGTGGGCCTCTAGCCTCTTGCACTGTCCTCAGAGGAGAGGCCAAGGCACCTTTGGCTCACAGCAGCAGGCAGAGAGCACAACGGGCTGCTCTCCACCTCACAGCCACCAACCTGTGTTTTGCGGAGCGGAACGTGTACACGTCAGAGGTGCTCGCCGTGGTGATGCAGCAGCTGATGGAGCAGAGTCCCCTGCCCATGCTGCTTATGAGGACCGTCATCCAGTCCCTGACCATGTACCCCCGCCTGGGGGGCTTCGTCATGAACATCCTGTCCCGCCTCATCATGAAGCAGGTAACTGCCTGGCCCAGGAGACTGGCCGGCTGCACTGGACAGGCGGGGTGGGACCCCAGCCTTGCCCTGGCGCCTGCTGGGCAGGTGCAATGTGGCCACAGGGCAGTGAGGGGGCACCTGGGTGGAGGGGCTGTGGGCTCCAGGGGGTGAGCCCAGCAGTGGCCCCTCGTCCCCACCAAGCCAGGATGCACCAGCCCTTGGATGGTCCAGGGTTCAAGACGCCCAGAATCAGGGCTTACAGGAGTACCAGCCACAAGCTCCGCAGGACTCAGCCCAGTGGTGGCTGCTGTGTAACGTCTGGCACAAAGGCTCAAGGCCCAGTGGGACGGACCTGGGTTCCACTCTCATTTCTGCCCTTGTGTCTTGTCTTCTCTCGCCCTGGACAAGTCCTTCCACCTCCTCTGCCTCTTTAACAGGGCCGTTGTCGCCCTCTCGAGACGGCTGTTAGAATGACATGATGGCTGCTGGCCAAGCGCAGCTAGGGCTGAGCTCAGCCTAGGAGAGCTGTAGCGAACGGGTGGAGTTGGGGAGACCCTGCCACTTCCAAGTTGCCCTCCTGTGCCAGCTGCCTGAATGGGGAAGCAGAGACCTCTAGAGGGAGCTCAGGGCTGAATGGAGCCCAGAGGATTCTTGGGTGTTGGGATTGGCACGGTTCTCCCTGGGGCCGGGGCTGGGGGGCTGCCTGTGGCCCCCTCCCAACGCTCCTGCCCTGCCGGACCAGGTGTGGAAGTATCCCAAGGTGTGGGAGGGCTTCATCAAGTGCTGCCAGCGCACCAAGCCCCAGAGCTTCCAGGTCATCCTGCAGCTGCCACCCCAGCAGCTGGGAGCCGTCTTTGACAAGTGCCCCGAGCTCCGGGAGCCCCTGCTGGCCCACGTGCGCTCCTTCACCCCCCACCAGGTACCTGAGGGTGCGGGGCGGCAGCCCCCAGGATGGGGGGTCGGAGGGTCGGGTTCAGGATCTGGGGTGTCTCGGAGCCCTCCGCAGCGCCCTCTGCTGCTCTTCTAGCAAGCACACATTCCCAACTCCATCATGACCATCTTGGAGGCCAGCGGCAAGCAGGAGCCAGAGGCCAAGGAGGCACCTGCCGGCCCCCTGGAAGAGGTGAGAGCCCTGCGCCCACCCAGCGGCCCAGCTTCCTAGGCCGCCCCTGTCTCCAAACGGGCTGAGCAAGGGAGTGGGGCGGGGACGACTGCCCCTTCCGTGGCCATGGTGAAAGCTGCTCTTTGCGTCTCCTCGCCCCCCTCCTCTGAGCACCCCCAGAGCTTCTGTGTGCCCCTCCCCGCCTCAGGACGACCTGGAGCCCCTGGCTCTGGCCCCGGCCCCGGCCCCCCGGCCCCCTCAGGACCTCATCGGCCTGCGGCTAGCCCAGGAGAAGGCCCTGAAGCGGCAGCTGGAGGAGGAACAGAAGCTGAAGCCCGGGGGTGCGGGAGCCCCTGCCGCTGCCCCCGCCCCCGCCCGGCCCGGCCCGCCCCCACCCGACGAGACCATGGATTTCCGGGAGGAGGGAGCTGAGTGCGAGACCCCGGCCATCTTCATCAGCATGGATGAGGACTCGAGTCTGACCGAGGCCGCCCTCCTGGACTCTAGTCTCGAGGGGCCTCTGCCAAAGGTAGGGGTGACAACCGGAGCTACAAAGGAAGAATCAGCCCAGGGGTTAAGCGTTGGGTGGGATGCGGACGGAGGGCTCGGAAGTGGGACCCTGCTCTTGACCCACTGCCCCTTGCTTTCTCCTGCCGCCAGGAGGCAGCAGCGGGCGGGGTGGCCGCAAAGGAAGAGCGGAGCCCGCAGAACCTGGCCCCTACGGGGGAAGACGGTGCCGTGAAGACGCCCAGCCCAGCGGCCGAGGAATCCGGGGACCCCGAGACCAAGGGGAACAGCTGACGGGGCTGAGAGCGGACGGAGGGGGAGGGGGGCGCTGGCCACCGGGGCTTCGCCCTAAAATTAAATAAAGGAGATGGCTCTCTGGGGGCTTCCGCCGTCTGATCTCTGCTTCCCAGCGCCCTGGGGACACGCGGGGCGCGCCTGCGTGGACACCGCTTTCTCCGGTGACCCAACCCCTTAACGGCTCTCCTCTCCCGGTCCTTGCCTGAAGTGTGGCCGTGGGCGCCTTGTCTAGCCTGTCTCTCCTAGAAGTCCATGCCCCTCTTTTGAACCATGGGGGACCCCTCCGAGGCCCCTTCCCGGCAGTACACCAACCCGAGGAGTTTCCAGGGCCCCGATGGCCGGCGCAGTCAGGAGTCCTCGCAGCCCCAGGCTGCAGTCCCGGAAGAGGTCCCACAGATGCTTCTGTCCCAACAGCGGGGCAGTCAAGGGCCCCCCTCTGGCCTCCCGCAGACCAACCTCCGCTGGTCCCAGGGAGCCAGCCTGCCCGAAAATGAGAACTGGCAGACGTCCCAGATCTTCCAAGCCGCGGAGGCCCCCATGGGCCACTCAGAGCACCCCGGCTTTCCCTTGGGGTTCCAGACCCACGCCTACATGGAGGACAGCAGGACCCTGGCCAGCGAACACACCACCAATCTGATGCTGCAGCAGCTGCAGCAGGGCCAGGGCAGTCTCTTCCAGCAACTGGAGCCCACCTACCACTCCCCAGGGGCCAGCTTCCTGAGCCAGTTCGACAGCTCCCAGAGAGAAGACCAGCACTTCAGGCCGAGCACCCAGCACAGTCCCTACCCAAGGGACGACCCTGGATCCCCGAGGTTCTCGTTCTCAGAGCAGGGCTTCTTGTACTACAGCCCTGAGGTGCCTGAGCCACAGCCGCGGGATCTGGCGGTGCAGAACGCCAAGGCCTACCTGCTGCAGACCAGCGTCGGCTCGGACCTCAGCCTGTGAGAGGGGCCAGGAAGTGGGAATGGGCACCCAGGTGGGGAAGGGACCTACCCAAGGCCCTGCCTCCAACTCTGGGGTCTCAGACCAGAGACAGGGCTGCCTCCCTGGCAACCACTCACTGCCCTGAGCTTCCCACTCAGCTGGGTGTTTGGGAAGACATGCCATTCACTGCTAGCGTTTTGCACACACCTAGTTCTCATGTCCTCTGTCCCTATTCCACAGAGGAGGATCTTGAACCCAAGAAATCAGGTCACTTACCCCAGACTACATAGCTAGGATGTAACAGAGTCAGGATTCCAGATAAGTGACCTGAGTCCACCATTCCTGGGAGCGCAGCTTCTGGGCCAGTTCCCTCTGAGCTTCCTGCCTGAGGAAGAAGCCCCTTAGCTGTGGTCACAAAACACCTCTCAGCCTCCATGAGAGACCCATGAAACCCAGAGTCTAGAGAGAGAATGGACAGTAAACATAAAAAATGGCAAGGGAAGCCAAGGGTGGTGGTGCACATCTATAATCCCAGCATGCTGGGAGGCTGAGGCAGGAGGATTATAGGTTTGAGTCTAGCCCAGGCAGCTTAGCAATTTAGCGAGACCCTGTCTTGAAACAATTTTTAAAAGGCTGTGGATGTAACTCAGTATGAAGGCCTTGGGTTCAATTCCTGGTACCACCAGAAAAATTAGGCAGGTTAAGGAGGACAGGGAGTGTGTGAAGCAGGGGTCTGATGTCAGAGCACTTTGCAGGTGACTGGTGGGAGAGGGGTCCAGGGATGGGGCGGGGCAGATGCAAAAGGCTCGGGAGGCCTGAGGAACAGTGAGGAGGCAGGTGTGTCTGGAGCCAGGGGAGGGAGAAGAAGAGGAGGAAGTGAGGTTGATGATGGGTCTTGCTTAAGCATGAAGCTGATCCCACCTCTCCATGCTCAGAACCTGCCAACCATTCCTCTCAGGAGGTAGTGCAGGAGGTATCGCCTCTCCCCACAGCTTCCCAAGCCCCACCCCACCCTCCAGAGTCCTTTTCTAGTCACTGCCTGCTCCCACCTGAGGGCCTGAAATCCAATCCAAATTAACTACCAACAAATCTCACCTCAGGAGCTTCAAGTTTCCTTCTCCAAAAGCCCTGGCCAGTCTTACCTCTTACCCTTCCTGGCCTCAGTGAGGGCCTGTACCACACCCAGGATTGCTGACAGCCAGGCACAGTTGCCCACACCTGTAATCCAACCACTTGGGAGGCGAAAGCAGGAGGATCACAAATTACAAGCTACCCAGCCTGGGTAGCTTAGCAAAAACTAAAAAGGGCTGGGGGTGGGGTATGTGGCTCACTGGTAGAGTACTTCCCTAGTGGGTGTAAGGCCCTGGGCTCCAATCCCAGCACTGCAAGAAAAAAAAAATGACACAATCAGTCTCTACACAGCAGCAGTGACACATACATGCTCTGCAATTAGACCAACTTCGCTTCAAATGCTGACAGTGGCACCACTGCATGACCTTCAGACCTCAACTGGTTGTGAAGGTTCAACATCACTCTCAAGTGCCTGGCTGTGGTGACTGGAAGCCATTCCTCCACTCTGGTCACACTGACCCTTCTCCTTGTTCCCCCAGCATGCCAGGAGCACCCCTCCCAAACTGGCACACATTCCCAATCATAGCATCTGCAAACTATGACAGTTTTGCTTCTTGCCAATCCTCCTCTCTTTTCTTTTTCATGTCGTGTTGCATAGGCTGTAACCTCAAGAATGTCATTAGATAGATGTGGTTAAAGCAGGTGTCTTTAAAAAAGAAAAAACAGGTCTTAGTTACTTTCTCATTGCTGAGATTCAACACCCAACACCAACAAATTAAAGGAGGAGAGGTCTACATTGGCCCATATTTTTAGTCCATAGTTAGCCCCCTCGAGGCAGGAAGGCATGGTGGAAGGGCCTGGTGCAGGAAAGCTGCTTACTTCATGGCAACCAGGAAGCAGGGTGTCAAGGGAAGAGCCAGGGAGGGAGAGATGCCCTTCCAGGTCACACCCACAGTGCCCAGCCTCTCCTGACCAAGACTACTGCCATAATCTAATCACCTTTCAAAAGCTCCCTATGTAGCCAGGAGGGTGGCACACTCCTGTAATCCCAGGAGGATCACTATGTGACCCAGGCTGCCTTCAAACTGGTAGCAATCCTCCTGCCTCAGCCTCCTGAGTGCTGGGATTACAGGGATATGCCACCACACCTGGCTAGGGCAGTCTTGAAAAACAAAAACAACACAAAAACCCCATGTCTGAGTCAATGAGGTTTTGGGGTGACGTCTAGATATAACTATAACGTGAGGGAGTACCACTGAAGAATTTACCTTCTTCTTTTTTGTTGTTTTTGTTTTCTGAGATAGGGTCTTGCTATGTAGCCCAGGTTGGCCTTGAACTCTTGGCAATCCTCCTGCCTCGGCCTCCTGAGTGCTGGGATTTCAAGCATGCACCACCATGCCCAGCACAAGTTTTTTCTTTAACTACAAAGGCTTTCTCTGTACCTACTGAGGTAGTGTTATAGATCTCCTTTAACGTGCACGTGGTAAGCCGGATAGGTTTTATTATTTCCATGTCAGTCCAGTCCGCAGTCTGGCTGGCCCAGTTCAGTCACAGTCTGTCATGCTTTTCTGAAACTGCTGGGTGCCATTGCTAACACAGTCACGCCTCACTTGAAGATGGCGAGACACTGGGATGTGTCCTCAGTGGCCTCGGGCATGGAGCAGACGTCACTGTGCTCTTGTGGCACCTGTGTGCTCTGTGTAGCCCAGGGTTGGGCACATGACTTCATTTTGCTTAGGATTTCGGCCTCTGGATCCTAAATGAGATCAGCATTGAATTTTTCTTTCTCTTTGTGTCCTTGAGTTTTGGTAGCAAGATTACATTGGACTCTAAATGTCACAGGGCCTATCTCTCTGACGCAAACACTCTTCCCCTAAAACCTGTATGGTTCACCCCTCTCTTCATACGGATCTCAGCTTAAATGCCACCTTGCCAAGGCCTTCTCTGGGCTCCGTTTAAAACTACAAAGCACCTCCCCTTCCCAGACACCCTCTCCCGGACCATTCATTCCCTGATTTCTTTGTCACTGTAGAAATTACCAGCCAGTGCCTGACACCCTGTATGTTCTCCCTGTTTGATTAATGTCTGCCTCCATCATCAGAATGTCATTCCACCAGGGGAGGGACCCTGTCTCCATTCCCCCTGTGTCCTCAGCACAGGCACGGGGCCAGGCTTGAAGCAGCGGCCCAGAAGCTGAGCGGTGCTGTGTGTCCCCTTCCCGCTGCTCCCACGGGAGGCAGGTACGAGCACCTGGTGAACCTCCTGACCAAGATCCTGAACCAGCGGCCCGAGGACCCCTTGTCCATCCTGGAGTCTCTGAACCGCACCACACAGTGGGAGTGGTTCCACCGCAAGCTGGACACGCTACGGGATGACCCCGAGATGCAGCCCGCCTACGAGATGGCGGAGAAGCAGAAGGCGCTGTTCATCCAGGGTGGTGGCGGAGATCGGGAACAGGAGATGGAGGAGGAGATGGTGAGAGAGTGGGCACTGGGGTGCGCTGTGTGATCGGGGCCGGAAGGGAGCAGGTGTGCTGAGCCAGCAGCTGAAGTGACTTCCGTCTTAGTTTGTGTGTGACCCACCAGGCCGAGGGACTGGGGCTTTCTTCTGCAGCCACTAGGGCACCTGGAAGGCTTGGAGCAGAGGAGAAGCTGATTGATCTGCTTCACTTAGTTTGGAAAGCTGGCCCCAGGGCCCTGGTGGTGCACACCTGTAATCCCAGCACTTTGGGCCACTGAGGCAGGAGGATCCCAAGTCTGAGATCAGCCTGCGCTAAAGGGAGTGACTCCATCTCAAAATAAAAGTTGTTTTGTTTTCTGGGTGTGGTGGTGCACACTTGTAATCTCATTACTTCAAAGAGGCTCATGCAAGAGGATCACCTCAAATTCAAGGTCAGCCTGGGCGACATAGTCAGTTCAAGCCCGGCCTGAATATATAGTGAGACCCTGTTTCAAAAATGTATATCTGAAAAAAAATAAAAATAAAAAAATAAAAATATATTTTAAAAAAAGGAACCAAAGGGGCTGAGGATTTAGCTCAGTGGTTCCACTGCCTGCTTTGCAAGTGCGAGGTCCTGAGTTTGATCCCTGGTTACCCCCCCACCCCTAAATGTATGTCTGGCTCATGCTCTGTCAAGAGTGCTGCATTCATCAGTCACGGGGAAACCCGGGTGATGGAGGGAGGGGCCACTGTGACATGGGCTTCTAATATATATATATATATATATGTGTCTGTGCAACA